CTTGGGCCAGTGAAGCAGCGTCCTCCACAACTAGATTGAAGAACAAAACGACAGCAACTTGTCTGTTCCCCTTCCCCCAATTCCCCATCACTGTTCCCATCCCCCCAATTACACACTAAAAATCTTTAAAAAAAAAGAAATACAAATTGGTAGTTACAAAATAGTCATGGGGATGTAAATAATATAGTGAATGACAAGGTAATAATTATGCATAGTGCTATGTGGATACTAGACTATATAACTTCTCAAATTATATAAATATCTAACCACTATGCTGTACACTTGAAATTAATATAATATTAAATGTAAAAAAAAATATTATGGGAAAAAATTTTCATAAGGAAACTAATCTTAAAAATTGTAAAATACAGGGCAGTCAGTTAGCTCAGTTGGTTGGAGTCCAGTGCTCATAACACCAAGGTTGCCGGTTCCATCCCCACATGGGTCACTGAGATGCGCCCACCACAACTAGATTGAAACTACTACTTGGCTTGGAGCTGATGAGTCCTGGAAAAACACACTGTTCCCCCTCCCCCCCAAAAAATTGCAAAATACAAACAAAGCTCAAAGTCACCGTAGAAATCATTACCATGATTGGGAATCAAGTAGATTTGGGAAGTCTAGGCTACCAAGATACAAGGAAATATCTAAATCAAAGAAGAGCAGTACCAAGCTCAGCATTATGAAAAAAAATAAAATTGACACAGTTGTCTCTGGGAGAAGGGACTAGTGGCAGAGAGGAGTGAGGCAAAGAACTGTGACTTTTCATTATAATCCCATTTGTGCTTGTATTACTTTTATAGCACTTGATAAAGATGATTGGGGCCTTTAAGGAGACTGATCAAGCTGGAAGGTCTATAGGAGGAGCTGAGCTCATGGAAGTTCATGAGCCCACCTACTCCAACTCTATGGTCCTAACTTCCTTTTCATAAAACTCGATGGATCTAGCTTCCTATCTCCCTGCCTTAAATATCCTCCATTTTAGCACACAAGCCTGAATGTGCATTTGGCTTGCTGGGTTTGCAAGTGCTGGGTTGCAGCCCTTTTTCCTTTTCCCAAATAGAACCTTTTTGGTGACGGACTACCTAGTCGGTATTATTGTTCAGTCGACACACTGCAAAGCACATATGTTGATGGAAAGCAATAGTGCTGAAAACATCCAAAAATAAAAGCCTATTAATTATATATACTTCCATTTTTTTTCTGTTATAAGAATCTACTTGGAAAATATATAAAGGCGTCAAGGTCAATAAAAGCTCATCTGGTGACTATAAATCTTCAAAAGGACTGATGCATTAGAAAGGAGTCTGAAGTTTGGAGGCCAACGCTTGGGATTAGGTTACTATGCACCGAGGTTTGAAACACACGCCACTCCGCCGGCTAGGCCAGGACCGCGACAAAGCATCGCGGGAGGCGGGGGCTCCTGACGTCACGGGGACGTCCCGCCCCTTTACGCTGCGCACTGGAGAGGCCAGAAGGTTTCTGGCGGCGACGGCGCCATCTTGCCGGAGCCTGAGACCGAGTGGGAGTGGAGTGTAGCGGCCGTTGTTGCCGACTCTTTCCTTCTCCCCACGGTCCAGTCAGCGGGTTGGTTAGGCCATAGGCCCTCAAGCCGAGACTTGTCTTTTGTTTAATTCTGGGGAGCGCCTGGCCGACATGAGTGATGTAGAGGAGAACAACTTCGAGGGCAGAGTGAGTACAAAGCCGCGGGAGCCGTCTTCGGCGGCGGCCCGATGCTCGGGATCTCACGAGGACGAGCGCGGTCGGGCTGGGTTGCGGGCGGGGAGTCTTGCGGGGACCCGCGGGGAGCAGCCTCTGGAGCCATCGCGGTTGCTCCCTCACATCCCAAGATGGCTTCTGGGCTCCACTCCTGCCCAAAACACCCCTGGCAACCCCGTCCCCCTTTTTTGGAGACTGACTGATGCCTGGATTCCTGGGTCCGATTTCCCCCCGCAGGGCGCCCTCCCTTCTCCCCACCCCTGAGCCTTCCTTAGCTCTGTTCCGAGGTGTGGGTCCCCGTCGCGGTGGGATGGGAGGAGACGGCAGGGAGTTCCCCTCCGACCGGATAGTGGTAGGTGCTTCCTGCGGTGGCATTTCTGGCGACCCCGCGCATCGTGGAGGGTCTCGGGATCGAAAGTGCGCGGGGCTGCCGTCCGGGCGGGGAGAAGCTGGCGTGGGACTAGCTGGGGCCTGTGTCTCCTTGGCTCTCTATTGCAGTGAGCGGCCGCGTCTCTGTTGGAACCGGCGGCGTTGCGTCTATAAAGGCGAAAGCCTTGAGGTTGAAGGTGGGACGAGCCTAATGAAGTGGTTAGTCAACGACCGCACCGACCCTTAAGCGTCCTTAAGACGAGAGCTGTGAGGGGAAAACTACGCCAGGAGCCCTGTTCCCTGAATGTCCCTTCTACTTTCATTTCAAAATGAATGTGGAAATGCTATATAACGCCTTATTTTTCTGATTCCTTGATGTTGGGGTCCCCCCCCCATATCTCAATTTCTAACGCTTTTCTTCCTATGACCTTACATCTAAAAACTGTCCGCTCCTTTAAAGGTTTTTTACGGTTTAAAAAAAAAAAAGCAACAGGAATCTTCTGTCTTGATTTTATATAACTGAACCAATTTCATGGCTCAGTATTTCTAAAATAGCTAGTCAGTTTATACTGTTCTCTGACTCAGAACGTTACCTGAAAATCACAGGCCCTCCCCCATTTCTTTTCTCAACCCATCCCCCAACAAAGAGGGCTCAAAGGTTTTCGTTATTTGGGGTCGATGAATATAAACATCGCAAAGATACGTTACCCTAAGCTTAAATGTACTAGACGTTTATCAACGTTTACGTTATATTTCCGAAGTTACCCTCGTAGTGGAAGTTAAAGTTACTGTGAAACCCTGAAAAGAAAACGGGATCTCTAGGCAGCTGTTCTGTCTGTTGTGTTGGTATTCTGGTCACTAGGGGAAACGCATAAAAAACACTTAAGGTGTGTGCTGGATGGAATGCTTTTTTTTTTTTTTTTTTGAAGCTCATAATATAAACACGTGGAACTAGACAGTTAAATCGGAAAGTCGATTTGGGCTTTTCTTTGGAGAAAAGAGATTTAAATAGATTAGAAACAAAAAGTCTACTTTTAGTTGGCTTAAGATTGGATTTTTAAAATTAAATCTGGAGCATGGATATAAAAGTCTAGTTGAACCTGCTCATTTTTTAGGATGGGGTATTGATTGTCCCAACAAAACTTTTTTAAATCATGTAATGAAAACATTTGGCAGTTGTAAGCTGCTGCTTGTTTTGAAAATGTTAGGTAGTTATGGGAATTCTGTTGTCCATTAATCTTTCCTTCAATTAACTTGTACAAAAAAATATTTTTGTTCATATTTGTTTTGTGGGGAAGTGAAGAGGACTATTTGGGACCTTTGTTTCCCTTTAAGTTCTTGTTTTTTTAATAAGTCAAGGAATGGAGCAAGTTCTAGATAATTCTCTTTACCCACCTAATATGTGACTTCCACCCAATTTTCAATTAAAATGTATGTAGGTATTAATTTATTTGAATAGAAAAGGGGCTTTTAACCCCCCCACACAGTGTTTGTGATCATAGAAAATATTTTTTCCGCACGTGATACCAAAATGTATTTTAGTGTGAATGAACTCAGATTGAATAATGAATATGCCCACATTCACCTGTTATGTCTTTTTTTGTAGGTTGAGGTAATTGTCTTTATTCATAATTGGTTAAAGAATTAGAAGAATGCCGGAAGCTTTTCTGAGGGTGTACTTTATCTTTTTTTAAATTCTTATAGCAATTCACTAGTGCTTTTGGTATTTAAAATAGTGATCTTTTTATCTACTAACCACAAACCACAGTTTAAAAAGTTTTTACAGAATACAATTTAGTTTTCTTATTTTTATCTAAATGTAATAGCCATTTAGAAAGGCTCAAAAAAGGATTTTCACATGTTTTTGAAGTGTTTAATTGTTATACTTCAAACTTTTTTGACTAGAAGAAAATATTGACAAGTCAGTATTCAGATTTCATTTGCTTTATCTACAGAATAAACAGTACACATTAACTCGATCTTACTGAAAAGATATTTAGAATTAGAGGGTAAGTTTCTAGAGACTGCAGAACACATTAAAGAAACAGGGTAATAGTAAGAGTTCCTACTTTTATATAATTTTAGAATCTATCCCTCCCCCCAAAAAATCTGACATATTTTCTAATTTACTCCTCACATTACTTTTTCATGGGCTGGAGTACTCTTAACCATTTTAGAAATTAAAAACAGACTCAGAAGACCATGCAGCCAGGAATCTGAGATGTACAAGTCCCAGTCATTTGCTCATTGCATACTTAACTATGCTATGTATATTTTGATTCACTTTTTTAAAAAGAGTGCACTGTACTCCAGTGTCTCAGCCATTAATGGATTTTGCTAAAAAACAGTTACAGGAGCTTAATTTTCTATTATAGATTAATGCCTCTTTCATTTTAAGGCACTGGAGTAAAAGAACTTTAGGAAAGAAAATATAATTGACTGAATTTAGTTATAAGTAACCCTAAGAGTTAACCAGAATTCCCTTCTACCTGAGGTGAAACTGCTGAGCATCTGCTGCCTTTTTATTAAAAAGGGCAGGTGTTCAGGAAAAGAGAACTTGAAGTCTTATTTGAGATGACTTACAGCTCAAATCTAGGTAAAAGTAAGTATATAATCAAGTACTGTGTGACAGAATTAAGGAATTCAGAAAATGGAGCTGAGCAGTTTTGTGAGCTATAGAAAAGGAAAAACTTGACCTAATATGTAAAACTTACACTGGGTTTTATGTTTAGGGAAATGAATATATGGGTGTGACAATGAGTAGGTTGCTGGAATAGTGAGAGGATAGATTTGACTTAAATATGCAGTCAGACTAAATATAAATATACAGGGTTTTGAATTCTAGATTTAGGGATTTGAACTTAATTCAATATGCAGTAAGGTGCCATCTCTGGATTCTTAATTCTGGGAATTGCTTAATGAAAGGAATTTTCGCAAAGAACAGACTGGTACAAGAGGAGCAGCAGGGCACAGCTGAAATATTTAAGGAAGGAAATTATTAAAAATATGATCTAAACAGGCCCTCAATGGGATGTAAAGAATGAGACATTTTTAAGGGATCCAGGAGAATACTGTTGACCTTAAAATAAATAGATTCATAAAGTAATCTGCTTGGGATATTTTAAGTGAAAATGTCTTTTGGAGCTAGGAGTTAAGTTGGTGCTTGATCTATGACTTTACCTGTCATCTTCAAAAAGAATGAGTTGTTTGCTTCTCACAGCTTCAACTAAAATTAGGATTTCAATCTCAAAACATTTTAGTGTCCTTTAGAGAAAAAATATTGAGTCCAATTTTGTTCTCATACAATAGCCCAGTGTTTGTTTGTTTGTTTAAGATTTGGGGAATTAGGGGAGGGGAACAGCGTTGGGGAATCAGGGAAGAGGAACAGACAAGTTGCTGTCCTTTTGTTCTTCAGTCTAGTTATGGAGGATGTCACTTCACTGGCCCATGTTGGTATTGTCATTGCGCTCTTCCTGGGTGAGGCAGTCGCTCACTGGCCCTTGGACAGCNAAAAAAAAAAAAAAGAAATTTAAAAGCCTTTATAATTAAAACAGTGCGGTACTGATACAAGTATAGATCAACAGACCAGGAGAAATAGAATAGAAAAGGAAAGTTAGTGTATAACAAAGGAGGCATCTTATATCACTGGCGCAAAGGTGGGATTTTTAATAAATTGTGCTGGGACAACTGGGGAAGCCATTTAGAAAAATGTAAAATGCAATCTACACTTCATGCTATACCTAAGAATAAACTCCAAATGTATCAGGAATTTAAATGTAAAATATGAAACTATACAACTATTGGAAGAAAACATTAGTGAACTCCTCTTTAACTTCAATATAGGGAAAGGTTTTCTAACTATGACTCAAAATCCAGAGGTGATAAAATAATAAATTTGATTACATTAAAAAAAGTATTTAAAAGTAGCATGAACAGGGCCGGCCGAGTGCCTCAGTTGGTTAAGAGCTCGCTCAAGAGTTTGAGCTCTGAGCAACAGCAGTTTGATGCCCAGCCCGAGCTGAGCAGCCGCTGAGCTGCCACCAGGTGGCAGGATGGCTCAGCTAATAAATAAATAAATAAATAAATAAAAAATAACAAACAAAACAGAAACAAACTCATAGATACAGAAAACATTTTGATGGTTACAAGATGGAGGGAGGTTGAGGGTGTTGGTGAAAAAGGGGACAGGATTAAGAATACAAATTAGGTGTTCAAAGTAGTCATGGGGATGTAGGGTATATCATAAGGGATATAGTCAATAATATTGTAATAACTATGTATGGTGTCAAATGGGTACTAGATGTGTTGGGGTGATAGATGGGAGGGGGTTAGGGGCAGGATGAAAAGGTGAAGGGATTAAAAAATACAAATTGGGGGCCGGCCGAGTGGCGCGATGGTTAAGAACTCACTTGGGATGCCAGAGGGCCCCGGTTCGGATCCCACATATGAAGGCCAGTGACACTGCCCTCCACAGCTAAGATGCTGAACAACAGCTCAACCTGGAGCT